ACTTTGACATCTTTATTGCCGATGCAAAATTACACACTTTCAAATGCTTCAAATATTTGAATTAGATTGTTTCGGACATAGATTTATAGGGCTTAAAAGTAGAACACCAACTTCTCGTTCTCGTACTTGCCAGCTAATATTTTTAAGCCCAATTAGTATATTTTGGTTACATAGGTTAAACAAACAAAAAATATTGAAAAAAGTTTTTTTTAAAAAGTTATTGAAAAAAACTGTTGCTAATTTATTTAAAATATTGAACAATGATAGACTACAGAATGCTGACTAGCTAAATGAAAAATAGAACCTAAGTTAAATTGTGATCTTACAATTATTATTTATTCGAGTCCCTAATTATTTATCATAAACGTAATTACAATATTAATATTTTATTATTAATTGCCTAGACCTTCTGGAACTTAAATTTGATTTATTCCTTATTTTCATTTTTATAATTGTTGCATCTGTATGTAATCTTGGTGTTTCAAAATGTTGAAGCAAGACATAGAAACAAATAACCGCCATGTTTGTTTTTGTGTTCAATGGAAAATATGTTCACAAAGATTAGTAGCAACTAGGATGGCAGTTATGCTAAGCAAGGTTCCCATTTTGAACTTGGCGAACTATGAGCAATTAAAGTAAAGTTTACCAGTTTCTTTGACCTCTGTAATAGACAGAATAATAAGGAAAGCAGTTGCCCAGCTTTTACTTTCCATAATGTAAGTTAGGCAGCCATCAGAGCTGGGTGGACTCAGTGATATTATACTGACTTTGACCCCGAATTCGAACTCGAGACTTTCCAGTTAGCAGTCTAGCGCTCTACCGCTAGGGCACGATGTCCCATGGCAGTCGTTACGATTTGGTTTTATTCAATTCAAAACACGATCCGAGGCATTGTTCGGTACTTTACTTGTTCTTGTATTTACACAATACACCACTTTAAGCAAAGCAACATGACAGCATCAAGCAGCAACATGATAGCATTAGACAACAGCCACATTACAGCATTAGATAACAGCCACATTACAGCATCAGACAACAGCCACAGGACAGCATCAAGCAGCCACATTACAGCATCAGACAACAGCCACATTACAGCATCAGACAACAGCCAAATTACAGCATTAGACAACAGCCACATGACAGCATCAAGCAGCCACATTACAGCATCAGACAACAGCCACATTACAGCATCAGACAACAGCCAAATTACAGCATTAGACAACAGCCACAGGACAGCATCAAGCAGCCACATTACAGCATCAGGTAACAGCCACATTACCGCTTCAGGCAACAACCACATTACAGCATCAGACAACAGCCACAGGACAGAAGAAGGCAAACTTCAGTAAAGCATGAGGAAAAGACATGAAAAACTGCGCTAAGTACATACCAGTTTATTTTTGGACGTGCCCCCAGATGGGTTACCTAAGGGTGGATCAAACAGGGGTTGGGTTACCTTAAGGTGGTACAGCCAGGGGTTGGGTTACCTTAGTGTGGGTCAGGCAGCGGTTTGGTTACCTTAAAGTAAAGCTGAGGCCGAGAGAAGGAATTAAATTTAGTTGAATGTTTGACTTGTAATCGCGTTAAAGTGTGTTACTTGTTTTCCGAGGCGTAGCTATTATTTTTCTATATTAAAATCTTGATATTGAACGTGCGCTAATATTATTTGATCAAATCGTTAAAGAGGTTTTAACCTGTTTTTCTAAATCATCACCAACTACTTCACCTCACTGTAGTCATCAACACCACCACCTTATGTCTCTATAACAGGCTGGTACGATGGATGTTGGCTGGTCCGAAAGTTTCACTCCGTATCCATAAAGTAAAGGCGACTGGGTATAGATCTTACGTTGACCATACTATCTCTTCATTTGCCGTGTTCCCAGAAACAGGTGAACTCATAGTCACCTGCCCTATGGCAAGTTCGACGGGATAATTTTACACTTGTGAAAAAAAAAGATGTTAAGGAAATATGGCGATGAATTTTCATCAGTGTTGTGCTGTTGAACTCTTAAATTGCTCATACACACGTGAAAAACATCAAACCAGTTGATCCATTGGTTTAGAATACATTGTAATCGTCTTTAGGTTATAACATTGCGTTTTGGTGTATAGATTTTGATGTGCTTACATTTTATGGACGTGTATTCTCAAAACTCCATATAGCCCAGCTTGCTGTGTTATTAGATTTCACAATATCGATACAACTAGCAACAAACAGTTTGTGTCGTTACAGTTAATCCTGAGCTTGTGTAACTTCGACATCAAGCCTTGTAACATAAGTTTATACCTAAACTTTCCAACAAATTAAAATAATACAAAGAAGCAAAATGGAAGCTATTATTCACATAAATCCAAAGAAGAAACGTTTGTATTGAATCATTATTACATGTTCAGAGGTAATGTTATCTGATCAAATTTAATATTACCTGATCAAAGGTAACGGTTGACCAGGGATTTCGCAACTCCACACTTTATTGATATATCTTTAAACACACGAGCAGAAATCTAAACAGTATTGTCTTTGTACGTATACATTTGGCAGGTTCCCGTCTCGGACCGACGGTGAGAATAATCGTCCTTGATGAGCTACTGATACTGCTGATAGTGTGTTAAAACAAAATATTTCCAGTCGCAGCATTGGTAGTGTTGAATTTACAAATTATAAATTACTGAAAAATAGAGAATAAGTAAACAAAATAGAGATGTATGATACGCCGCTGGTCGGCTCGTATAGTTAAAAAGTAATTATTCTTCGTTAGACCTAGCAATCCATTGGGTTGACGAAGTAGAGTTCATATATTACACTGTATTTACACTGGTGTGTGTGTGTATAGCTACTCAGATTTGTGTGTGCGTGTTTGTATGGCAGTTCAGATGTGTGTGTGTGTATAGTAGCTTTGATGTGTGTTTTCTTGAGTTTGTAATATTGTGGGTCTCTCCGTAAAGTTATGTAATACATCAAAGTGAAAATCTTAATCTTCATCAAAAGCTGAGATATTAAATGTATAGTTATAAACACAAAATCCTTGAAATAATTCGTAAAAATCGGTAGCAAGCTGTCCTCCAACCTATAGCCTCCACATGTCCTCCAACTTACAGCTCCACCAGTCCTCCAACCTACAGCTCCACCAGTCCTCCAACGTACAGCTCCACCTGTCCTTACATGTCCTCCAACCTATAGTCTCCACCTGTCCTACAACCTATAGCCTCCACCTGTCCTACAACCTATAGTCTCCACCTGTCCTACAACCTATAGCCTCCACCTGTCCTCCAACCTATAGTCTCCACCTGTCCTACAACCTATAGCCTCCACATGTCCTACAACCTATAGTCTCCACATGTCCTACAACCTATAGTCTCCACCTGTCCTCAAACCTATAGTCTCCACATGTCCTCCAACCTATAACCTCCACCTGTCCTCCAACCTATAGCCTCCACCTGTCCTACAACCTATAGTCTCCACCTGTCCTCCAACCTATAACCTCCACCTGTCCTCCAACCTATAGCCTCCACCTGTCCTACAACCTATAGTCTCCACCTGTCCTACAACCTATAGTCTCCACATGTCCTACAACCTATAGTCTCCACCTGTCCTCCAACCTATAGTCTCCACCTGTCCCCCAACCTATAACCTCCACCTGTCCTCCAACCTATAGCCTCCACCTGTCCTACAACCTATAGTCTCCACCTGTCCTACAACCTATAGTCTCCACCTGTCCTCCAACCTATAGCCTCCACCAGTCCTCCAACCTACACCTCCACCTGTCCTCCAACCCACAGCCTACACATATTTTCCAACCTAGAGCATCCACCTAACCTTATCTGTCCTACAACCTATAGCTTACATCTGTCCTCTTGTTTTGTCCGTAATCTACTACAACACGCCATACTAGGCATGTTGCTAGTTCAAGGTTTCTTCCGTATGAAAACATCGATCTCATATGAAAACATCTTCAAAGTAAAACTTAAGACAACAGCTTGCCTTAAAATATTTTCAACGACACAGATCATATGTTCTGTTTAGACATGATGCAATCAATATTTGCACACTTAATCACTACTTCCTGTTTGTATCCAACAGACAAATCAAAATGTGTTCACTATAGGGCTGGTAAGTAGGTCACCAACCAGTTCTACGGCTCAAAAAAACCAACATGAGCCAAAGAACTGGTTGGTGACCTACTTACCAGCCCTATACCGGGCCGATTCAGTTTCCCTAGAGTGAATCCTGTCACCATTGACTCGAGCAAGGGTTCATACGTGCACACTTGGTAGTGGCTACATGTTTAGGCATATTGACTCACGTTTTGATGATAAATATGTGTAAATGTAACTGGTTGGGGAGTTATTTAGTTTCTTTATTTTGGTTTGATAAAAAGCGAATTTACACGTTTTGTTTCATGATGAAGCTAGTTGTTGTCATTTAACAAAGTTGACGTTTTGTCAACATATTTGTATTATAATCGGTAATGGTACTGGAGACTTCTCATGAACATAAGTTCAAATATATATATATATATATATATATATATATATATATATATATATATATATATATATATATATATATATATATATATATATTCATTTTTCTAGTTTAAGTTTGAAGATAAAATAATTTTTTCCTTCCTGGTTGAGAAATAATAAATTTAACTACATGATTTATCAGAAAAGGCTTGACAAAAATGTTATAAATTTGATTGATCTAAGAAGATCACTGTAGTTGTGTAGGGTACTGTAAACATCAAAATGAGAGTGAGAGGCAATCCATAGTCGATCATCTGCGTCATAAGGCAGTATGCCATTGGCGTGTTTTTAAGTTGTTGAATAGGGTGGACGTCATTGCATAGTATGTCACAAACCAAAGTATTGTTTTCATTCTTTTTTCTTTGGCGATCGCAATAACATTTTTTTTTTAAATTATAGATCAATGTTTTGTCTACTTTATTTAAAAAAAAATTTTTCTTTACTTTTAAAAAGTGTTTTCAAGAAGTTAAATCATTTGGCGCCGCTTCTGTTTTTAATGCCATACCACGTGGGTATGTCCAAGTGTTTTGATTGGCTAATTGGAGAACACAGACCTTTTATAATACAGCGCACAAATTGCTCGGGGATATATTTTCCCTTCAGAGACATCGCCGAAGTTTTACTCTGGTGAGTTCTTTCTTACATTACATTTACAGTTTTTGTCCTGCATATTTACATAACTTTTAGAAGCATATTACTATATTATTATGTTTTTGTCTTACTTTATGTCATATTTTATGTTTTCATTTAATTGTGTGTGTGTATGTTCTGCTCTATTGTTTACGTTTGTGTTTATCTTTGTGTTTGCGTTTGTGTTCGCGAACTCGTTTGTGTTTGCGTTTGTGTTGGCGCTTGTGTTGGCGCTTGTATTTGAGTAGAGTTTTTGTTTATGTATATGTTTGTGTTTGTGTTGGCGTTTGTATTTATGTTTATGTTTATGCTTGCGTTGCGTTTTTTATGTTTAAGTTTGTATTGTTTGCGTTGCGTTGCGTTAATATTTGCGTTTGCTTTTGTAGTTACTTTTGTGTTAACCTCGCGTTTGTGTTTGTGTTTCCGTTTTTTTTTCGTTTGTGTTTTGTTTTGCTTTTATGTTATGTTTGCGTTTGTTCTTTAGTTTATGTTTTTATTTTGGCTGGTTAAGGTTAGGGTTTATGCTGCATAATAAATAGAAGTCATGGTTCTTTATTTAAAGGTTTTTCTTATAGGCCAGTTCTTTATAAAGGAATTCAGAGGAATCGAGTTTATATTCGTATCGGTTTTTTTTCGGTTTTTTTAAAAGTAAAATAGGGTAAAGTACTATTTTCAGTCATCAGAAATTACTCAAAATTTGTCAGGAAACAGAAAAATAAATCTTCTACATATATGTGAAAACCCTTCCATCTAACTGAAAAAGTACTTAAGTTATATATTTTTGAAAGACTAAAAGTGGAATAAGTTTCAAGTTCGGCTATCGAAAATTGCTGAAATATTGATACAGAACAACACATTTGATATAATAATTATATATGAAATTTCGTCAACCTAGCTGTACTCAAGTTATCGTGTTCACAGACAAATACACTTACACACAGAAACAGAAACAGACACACACATTTATACACACACGAACATACAGACACATTTACAAAATCCTGTTTTCCTTTCTTGTTGACGCGTAAAATGTCCACGTTTTGATAAATGTGGTTTTAGATTTTTAGCCCGATGAAAATAAATCCCTATACTCCGTATACGATGAAGTACTGAGGTTTAAAAGCAGAAAACTCAAATTGTATGTAATTTGTGTACACGATAACAGTACTTCCTCAATACTCTGTATACGAGTAAGTGAAAATCTATACTGTATTTTCGGAGGGTAATTATGTTTTAAATGTTCAACTGATCTAGGAAAGAGTACATTTATTATAAATAGTGCTTGAGTCATTGCGTTTCTTACAATGCCAGAAAGTCTAAAATATTTTCAAATCAGTCAGCTCTTCAATTCGATTCTTAGGTATGACACTTTGAGCTACATTTATTGCACACGGTATGGTTTACATCCAGTTTGTTTACTTACAAAAAACGTACAAAATCTTTATATTCAAGGTCTTTATATGCATTATAGTTTTCTATATTTGACTACAGTGTTCATGGTGTTGTGTTATTTTGTAATGTGTTGAATCGATAAGACTAAACCTTTGTTTTAATGAAGCAGCTGTTGCTAAATCCATGTTCAAGTTTAATCTTTCGCCTGCTTCAGACAACATCAATTGGAGATTTAAAAAAATAAGTAAGGCCACACTTTTGTAACAAGTTATTTCAGTCAGGTAATTTTTTTTTTTTTTTGCAATTTTGTTTACGATGCTTAAAATTATGTTGACGACATTTCATATTGTTAAAACGAATTTAATCAGAATGTGTAAAGATTATGTCTAGCGTAACCAACTCTTTTATTCTTAACTAGTAAAACTAAAGAAATGTATTTATAATTTATATCAATAGCGTGTCGTTAATTAAGTTGTATGCTTGTTTTAAAGGTAGAATTCAATTTCTACAGAACAGTAATCTAACGTCAAAGAAGATGTCACTTGGAAAATTTAATCTGATAGTAGCAGCATGCCTTCTGTACAGTATGTGTTATGCTACAAGTGAGTGGGGTACAACCAAAAACAAGGGTAATAGCAACGGACTAGACAAATAAATATTTTAGTAGGATCTTGAATATGTATCTCCTTGCTGGGGATCACTAGACCATCGAAAATATTTCCATGAGTTATAGCGCAGGCATTGTTTACATATTAAACAATCAGCGTTAGAAATCAATGTCACAAGTCTTAGAATATAGGATTGGTAACTCAATGATGAAACCCTCTTAAAATATTGCGTCACACTTTCTTCTGAGACGGCGGCAATGTGCGAGGATGGGCACTCTTGTTCTAAATAGATTCTTCGTGTTTATCGACAAGACTAAAAATAGATTCAAGTCTAGATTATCGGTAGCACAAGATAAATTAATTAGTATTCTCGAATTAGAATATTTTTAAACGCATCCAATAACACATTGATAATAGTATTAAAACCTAATAAAATAATAAAGCGGGAGTGATCTCCCCTAAATTTTCTCGAAAGTACGTACATAAAACTACGGAGGATCGCAAAGTGGCATATAAACATAATTTTAAATCAATTTTTAGTTACTTTGACAGTGTAAAGTAGAATAGAATCTCGTAGAAAAAAATTAATTGCAACAAGTGAACAGCAAACAATGTGTGTAAAATAATGCAGTTTTGAAAATCGTAAATATCGTAAAGTACTACTTCTGGTCACCGGGAAATACCTTTTGAAAAACCAAAAGTAGAATAAGTTTTACTTCTGGTTAACGGAAATCGCTGAACTTCAAATTTGATATAATACTTATATATAAAATTTCATCAACTTAGCTGTAACGGTACGCTAGTTATCGTGTTTCCAGACATACATACACACAAATCATACACACACACACGGACTAAATTGCAAAACTGTGTTTTTCCGACTAAGGAAGATGTAGAACGTCGATTTGTGAAATTCAAGATTGATTTTTTTAGCAGGATCAAAATACTTCCTCTATACTTTATATACTAGAAAGTGAAAACATACATATTGTTAAAATTAGCTTTAGTGGAAGCTATGTTTGATTTGACAAAAAGGTATATCAGGAAAGTAATTGTTATCAATTGATACAATTAATGGAGTGTTTCTACTTATAACTGAAAAAAGAAATTAAGAATCGACTAAAGAACATTTTGGTAAAATAAAACCGAGAGTGATCTCCCCTAAACTTTCTCGAATATTCTAACATAACACTACGTAGGATGGCAAATCGGAATAAAGACATGATTTTTGTTTACTTAAACTTTTAAAAATAGAATAAAATCTAGTAGAAAAAAGAAATGCGCGCCAAGCGAACGCCAAAACAAAATGTGCATAATAGTGCGCAATATTATTGGAACTTAATAAGTTTACATGCGTTTTTTGAGAAATCGAAAATAGCGTAAATTAGTACTTCCGGTCAACGGAAATTACTCATAAATTGATAGAATGTACAGAATTAGTTTTTTTAATTACATGTGAAATGTCATTTATCTATCTGAAATAGTCATCAAGTTATAGGCTTTTTAAAAATTCAAAGTAGAAAAAGCACCACTTCCGGTTATGGGAAATCGCTCAAAAGTTGATACGGATCTACGATTTTGATAAAATACTTATATATGAAATTTCATCAACCTAGCTGTAACGGTAGGCCTACTCAAGTTATCGTGTTTAAACACACACACACACAGACACACAGACAGACACACAGACATACGGACAAGATTGCAAAATTATGTTTTTCCGTATCAGTGAGATGTAAAACGTCGAGATTTGTAAAAATCTCGATTTTGTTTTGCACGATTACAAGACTTTCTCTATACTTCGTATATACCAGAAAGTAAAAAGAACATCGTTTTCTGCATATATACGAATTTTACAGTAATACACATAGATTAGATGCTCTGACCAAGCCATATATATATATATATATATATATATATATATATATATATATATATATATATATATATATATATATATATATATATATATATATATATAAGAATTTTATATACATAGAGAGAGAGAGATAGACATGTATAAATAGAAATATAATTATATAAAAATATAAAAGCAATTTATTCAAATGTTATTAAAGATGATTGCATTCCCTACGTTGATGGCGATCTATCCACCGAGCAAGTTGCAGCTATTAACTCAGAGCATGTAAGTATCTAATATCAACTTAACAATTTCGATATTCATTCTTTTCCTCTACCTGTCTATCTTTATGTCACTCTGCCCTGAACGCTCTTTAGAAAACACAAGGAGGATAAAAAGTAGTCCAGGCAAATTTAATGACGTCACATAAAATCTCAGAAAGGTTTATCTAATCAAGCCAAACGAAACGAAACTTATGAAGTTTAAACCTCCCAAAACTACACAAAAAAGAGCGACTTCATTAACTGTCGAATAAAATAACAAAATTAAAAAACGAACGCCGAAAAGTATACACTATAAAATGAAGTCATTGCTAGAGAAAATAAATGTAATGCCGAAAACAATAATTAATAAAAAATGGCGTCATGGTTTTCCAAATTAATTTTTAAAATGCCGCGAATAAAGTTCCGTTTTTTTTACCGATTAAGGATCTAAATTACAATATCCGGTTAAATTTACAGATCGGTAAAAATATCGATTCTAGATAAATATCTATTAAATCAAATTCAGTATCCTGGTAAATTTCCGTTTCTTCCTAAATTTACTTAGCCATTCGGTACAATTTCTGGATCCGGTTAAAATACACATTCTTGATAAAAAAACTCTTTTCAATGAAATTTAGTTTCCGGATAAATTTGAGGTTGAAATTTGAAGTTTGGCTTTGGTTTCGGTTTAGAGATAAAAAGTCAACACTATCCACTTAGCACCCTTTGTGTTTCTTCCTCAATCGGTAATGTATCTAGTTTGCTAAAAATTCTACGTTTTCTCTCATAAAAAATGAGTTAATATTATCGTCTACCACGGAAGTCTAGAGTTTGCGTCATGCAATTGAAACAAGAGCTAGATCTAGGAAAAAAAAGTGCCGTTCTCTAGGTCGTCGTTTTGTGAGTTATTCAACATACGTTACGCATTGTTGGGCATAGTGAAGACCACACTACTTAACATATACCGACGCAACTAAACAGGTGAACTTAACTTTGACTGTCAGACTCGAAAGTGTAATTTACTTTTTAACAGACTTTGTACACCACATTATTATATTAATTATAATATATTCTCAACATACGAGCAGACCCGTCCGCGCCGCTATTTAGTTGTTTTATTTTCTACTTTTCAGTAATTCATAATTTGTGAATTCGACAGTACCAATGCTGCCACTGAAAATATTTGCTTTAAAACACTATCAGTAGATCGTTAAGGGCGATAACCCCCCCCCCCCCTCCCTCCTTTCCCCAACCCCTACCCCTCCCCCACTCCGTGAAAGTAAACTCCTCTTAGTTACCTCCCATAAGTTTAAAATCGTTTCAAACTAAATTATCTGCCCCTAATAGTCGTCACTAAACCCGGCTCTACGAATATAATTTGTAAACATTAAGCGTGAACCACAGCTCACCAGACCATGTAGGGGTGGGAGTGGTAGAGAGCGAGCTTACAGCTTGTTTTCTAGCGTCTCCAAGAAGAGAATTATATATATAGATAGATATTGTCTGCAAAAATGAATCGTTATATTTGCAATGACTATCTATAACATCTTAAAATAAGAATAATGTAATCTAATATATAAAGCTCAATTCTGTAACGCATATGTTTGTCGTTGGCATTTCTACGGATTTAAGTGTTAGATCAATTATCGTGCGCGTTTGTCTAAATTTATGAGTTAAAAAATTACTATTAAAAGTGTTGGGAAATCATTTTCATTTTTCAAATTATAGTAATAATTGTCGGCATGTTCATTAAACACAAGTTTTAAAAAAATATCATCTTTTACAAAAATTCTAATTATGTCTTTTTTTAGTCCTATAGCGCTTACTTCCCTTTGATAAATTAGGAAAAACACAATTACTTCCCTTTATGAAATCATTGCATTAGTTGAAAAGCATTTACTTTTTAATTACTTTGTTTTGGTGTTGGGAAAAAAATAATTACATAATTAGCGGGGATTGATCAAGTGCAAATGTTTTAGGTATTTTACGGATAAGCTTGGAGTATTATAATTGTTCATTAAATTGAAACAGGCGCGTTCGTTTAAGTGAGTGCAAAAACTATGAATAAGTTGGGGTACTATAGTCGTTTATTAAGCTAAAACAGGCGATTCTGCCGCGGGCGTTTATGTTCGCGTTAGTGTTTTCTTTGTGTTTAGGTGGGTTTGCGTTAGTGGTTGCGTTTTGATTTGGTTCGTTTTTGTTCTTTCTTTTTTCGTTTTTGTTTGTGTTTTTTTTTGTTTGGGTTTGTATTTGTGTTTTTGGTTGGTTTTGCGTTTGGATTTGGTTTGTTTTCGTTTGCTTTTTCGTTGTTTTTTTTTTGGTATTGGTGTTTGTGGTTGGGTTTGTTGTTAGGTTTTTGTTTTCGTTTGTTTTTTCTTTGTGTTTGTATTGGTGTTTGTGGTTGTGGTTGGGTTTGTTGTTAGGTTTTTGTTTTCGTTTGTATTTCTAATTGGGTTAGCGTTATGTTTGCGTTTTGTTGTTTTGGTTGGTTGTGGTTTGGGTGGGCAATGCCGGGTTTATGATGATTACTAAACACACAGGTAATGGTCTTTAACGGAAAGGTTTTTCACAGAAGCCAGAGCAGGGCCTGGCCGGGACGGCTAGTATAATATAATGTAAGAATGGCAGCTTTGCAGAATCTATACACAACGTTACAATTACTAAATCGATGTGTATTTTCCGATATTTTTGAACTTCACAAATGACCAACTAAAGCCAAAACTTACTTACAGTTTACGACGTATGCATTTAATTTTGTTTATTTTTTAAAATGAGTAGTTTTTAGCGCAATTTCCATTCTGGAGAATTGCGTTTATTAACCCGTCATTTCTGGATGTATGAATGTATGAATGGATGGTGCCCTGTCAAAAAGACCCGGGACAGATCGGCCCCGTCAAAACGGCCCCGTTAATATGACCCCGTCAAATCGACTCCCGACAAACCGACCCCGTCAAAATAGCCCCGTCAAAAGGGCCCCGACTTATTGGCTCCCGTCAAATGGGCCCCCGTCATATTGACTTGCGACATATAGGCTCCCGACAAATGGGCTCCCGATATTTAGGCCCCCGACAAATGGACTCCCGACATATTAACCCCTGACAAATAGGCTCAGGACATATTGGCTCCCGACAAAGCGGCTTCCGACATATTGGCTCCCGGCAATTGGGCTCCCGACATATTGGCTTTTGACAAAATGACTCCCGACATATTGGCTCCAGAAAAATGAATGATATGACCACTATTGGCATAAAAGTAACCATTGGGTCCTACCTCCAATACCACCATAACCTATTTTTAATGCCCGAATGAAATTATTTTTTCATGAACCAACATTAATTCACAAACAAATCGAGCCCTTAACAGCTAAATTCCACCAATTCTAAAGTTTTGAAAATGTTTAATTTACAACAGAAAAGATCTGTTGCTTAAAAGCGAGCACAGAAGTGTAAATGTATGATATACATGTTGTTAACATGATAACAGCATTTTGTTTTGATAACCTACAAGCACGGTGGCGTAGCGAGATCGGGTGTCACCCGGTGCGGCACTTAATGGTGTCACCCCCCCCCCAGAGGCGTTGCGACCCTTCCCGGGGACAAACTTTCAAGTTTTTGATTTGCACCCCCCACCCCCAAACTTTCGATTTGCACCCCCACCCCCTCAACTTTTTCTCTATATATTTTGCTATTTTTTGCCTTGGTGTCACCCCCCTAAATGGTGTCACCCAGTGCGGTCCGCACCCCCGCCCCCCCCCCCCCTCGCTACGCCCCTGTACAAGCATATTGCAGTTAGGAAGGTACAGCGTGGACCCTTCTCCCCACACAATGAGTTGGAACAGCCTATAACCGACTCAATTATGGATGTCATAGATAGATGACCCTTAAATTAAAACATACTATATTTATAATAGATAAACTAGTATAAAAATAAGGCCTGCCGAACAAGAGATGCATACGTTGTATAACATAAGAGTGTTGGATAAGCTAACTAAAGAATATTGATGAAGGGGTCACACTGGCAGATGTCATATTCAATGAGACCGCTTTGCCGGGAGACTTAGTCTCTACAGAAACGGTATTGTCAGTGCAGTGGCGTAGCTAGGATTTTTGGGCCCTTATGCAAAAATTATCAGTGGGCCACTTCGTCAGCCGTTAGGCCATTGGCGTCGCTAGGTCGGGTCTCACCCGGTGCGGCACTTCGTATTGTCACCCCCTCCCAGGAAACAAAGCATATATATATATATATATATATATATATATATATATATATATATATATATATATATATATATATATATATATATATATATATATATATATATATATGTGTGTGTGTGTGTGTGTGTGTCGGCCTATAGGCCTAAAATTTATATATATGCCACATACTGGTACACGTACGTGTTTAAGCTTTAATCACTGCTGACTTAATAGTAACGATGTTTATCTACAGTCTGTTTATAATACAGTTGGATGTAGCATTGTTTTCTTTATAGTTTACGTTTACGTCGTGGTGTCACACCCCCCCCCCCCCCCTCTTGATATAATTTTCGATTTGTACTTAGAAGACTATTTAACTTTAACTAATGGATCTGGAAAATGGCATTTCATTCTATAAATTTTACAATTTTTTGCCTTTGGTGTCACCCCCCCCCCTAAATGGTGTCAGCCGTAGCGGTCCGCACCCCCCCCCCCCACCTCGCCTTCGCTACGCCTCTGCGTTAGGCTACAGAGGAGTTAAACGAAGAGATCAACTTCTACTTACGATGGATATTTTTTAATATATAAATATTCTGAAGGCAACATTTTGTATTTTATATGTCCTGATTTTGTATTTATACTATATTATTATGCTTGCCTACTACTCAGTAGCGTAGCGAGGGGGAGGGGGTGCGGGGGGGGGGGACATATGTCCCCGGGCGCCGAGCTTAGGGGGCGCCAAAATGGGTTGGAAAACTAAATTGAAAGGTTGAGGGGGGTGCAAATTGAAAGTTTGAGGGGGGAGGGGGGTGCAAATAAAAATCTCGATGGGGGGGGGGTGCAAAGCGAAAAGTTTGTCCCCGGGCGCCGGGTGGGGTCGCTACGCCTCTGCTACTACTGCTAAAAAGTTTATTTATAGGCTGATTCTCTCAGTGTCTTGCACGACAAAGTGATATAGCCTGTAGTGTTATTATAACGATTGGGCTCTGTTTGACCCACAAACACTGAATCCCACTGCCGAAACGGTGGGGGGGGGGGGGCTTTTTGGAACTTTTAACCTTTTTCTTTTTTAAAATTATTTATATGTAACAAATATTAAAATTCCATTGTAAAAGTTTTAATTTTTTATGAGGGAAAATGGCACCTATGTGCCTTGGGCCCCCATGCCTTGCTTACTCTAGCTTTACGGTAGCTACGCCACTGTGTCAGTGGTCCTATTGTCTGGAGCCAAATTGACAGGAGCCTTTTTGTCGGGAGCCAAAATGACGCTAGCCTATTTGTCGGGAGTCGTAATGACGGGGGCCGTTTTGTGGAAAAAACTAAATGACGGGAGACTATATGTCGGGAGCCAAAATGACGGGAGCCTATTTGTCAGGAGCCTTATTGACTGGAGCCCTTTTGTCGGGAGCCTATATAACGGGAGCCTATTTGTCGGGAGCCTATATGACGGGGTCCATATGTCGCTGGCCCTTTTGACGGGGCCGATTTGACGGGGTCGTTTTGACGGGGTCGTTTTGTCGGGGTCGTTTTGACGGGGCCGTTTCGTGATTGGCCGAATTGACGCCGCACGGAATGGATGGATGGATGGATGGATGAATGTGTGTCCGCAGCTTTAAGTCGTATCTCCTCCTCAACGAAGCAATATCGATGACTAGTTCTAAAGCAATTATGTTAAGCAAGTTACGAGGATGAACATAGGCCATAAAAATTCTGGGTTTCTTTCATGAATTTCCCAGAAAAGCCAAAAAACCTCGAAAAAAAGCAGTTTTTGGCCCATATCTCGGCAACCAGACCACTTAGCGACTTGAAACATGTACCAATCGATTCCTGTCATAATTAAGAACAATATTGCCGAAGAAAGTTTTCAAAAATATCCTTTCGTTCGGTCACAAAAAATTTTTTGAAGTAATTAAAATTTGGACCGAATTAGTAGGCATTTTTTCCAACCACACCACACGCGTCATCACGTTCAATAGCTGCGCCATCACGTTCAATGGCTGCGTCATCACGTTCAGTAGCTAGGCGCGCAATGGTTTTTAGTCATGTAACTCTATTGTAAATAAAACATGTAAAATACTGAAAAAAAATTAATAAAAAATGTTTTAATAACTAACCAATGGTTTTACTAACCCTGCTCTTGATTTACGCTACGACAGAGCTATTTTTAGATAACATAAGGAAATTGCGCTAAAATTGTCACTAGACTTTTTAATTAACTTGTTTTTATACAGCTAATGGTAAAATGAAAGAAAGAGATAACCGAATTCATAAGTCTGTGACGCGTGATGTTCGAGGAAAGGGAAGCCGACGAGGACATAAAAAGCCGTGTCCACGCCCGATATATACTTAAGTGTTAAGCTAAGCTTGAATTGCATACTTTTATTTTAGGATTGTTTTTTGGCATGTGCCGCCAATTCGAAATGCTTTAGTTTTGAGTACGATGGTGTATGCACAAATTATGTTTTGAAGACACCAGTAACGACATCCAGCGATTATATAAATGTCGCGATAAGATGCTTATACAGTTCATGTAAGTCTAAATGATTCATTACTGACTCAAAACCAATAATAGTATTTTATAATCTATTTCACTTTAAAATGTTCTTAAATTTTAAAAATGAAAATACTTAAGATTGAATTAAATACAGCTTGTTGGTTAACTGCATCCTTACTTTTTATTAGTACGATTTATCACATGTTTTAATTAACAGGCAATCTAAGTAAAACTGTTAAGTTAGGCATTGCATTTTGTAATTACTAGAATTCAAGTAGTGTATATTTAGTTAATACCTAAAAATGTTTAATAGTTGGCAACAAAGTTTTTACTTTTTCGCATACGTTACCAAACAAAATGAAGAACATAGAACATACATGTAAATTGCTAAAAAGATGTTAAATAATATTCTAGCCCAGATTTTTAGATAAAATTGAAACATTTTAGTAACGGTGGAGTGGATAGAAATAATTAATATAAAATTAAAAGATTATTCATTTATTCACGAACCCGTTTAATTATTCAGTCCTTTATTTGTAGATTAAAAAGTATATTTTTTCGTTATGTGTTTATCTATTTTAGATATTTACTAGTTTTTAAGTTTATCGATAATCTCCACAGCCCAGTGTTCAGCTTATCCTGCTGGATATAATTCTGAAGCTTCACAAACAGTCACATTTGATGTAGGTCTTTAACTTTAATTGTGCTGAAATAAACATATAATCTTCTTAATTTGTTGAGGGTCGGAGTGGTCGGGCGGGCAATCTCATGGCTGCTAACCCGTAAGTCCCGATCTCGAACCCTCTATAGCCAGCTGGGGACAGCAACCCATCTAGGAGTGAAAACTCTGAGCCTAGAAACTTAGGCAATAGGATTATCAACTCTAGCCTCCCTCCGGCAGCTACTTCGACACTGCTTACGCCAAGCTTTACTGGCAAGCTCTATCTATTGGGTCAATCAGCTGTGTGGAGTGAGGGGACATGATGCATGGGCAAATCTGGCTCTACTCAACCTAACGTCAGGCTTTGTGTTTGTATGAGCTATGATCCAAATGTCTAATTAGATTATGGAGCCTTATTCTTAATTTGCGAAAGTCCAGATGTAACTTCATAAAAAGTAAAGTAATTATATTTTTCAAATGGTTTTTCAGTAAGTGTCTGCTTTGTATACAAGAAAGAGAAATATTTTATTTTAAAATGTATGTCTCTGATGAACTAAAATTGAATACTTTAATGTGGCTATCAATGTTATTTACGATTATAACAATAACATTAAGCCAATGTTATATATATATATATATATATATATATATATATATATATATATATATATATATATATATATATGTATGTATATATATATATATATATATATATATATATATATATATATGTATTTATATATATATATATATATATATATATATATATATGTATGTATGTATATATATATATATATATATATATATATATATGTATATATATATATATATATATATATATATATATATATATATATATATATATATATACTGTATCGATTGCATGAGTTAAAATGAAACTATAAAAAACAGGCGTACATGCTTTCAATTTCAGGAATGTATACAACTCTCGATTGACAACCATAAATCGAATGGCTTCACGTATGTTTTTGGGAAATGCATTCTGAACGTGTTCATTAGGGATAAGCTAAACACCACAATAGAAACCGCAGGATTTGCGTATCTTCGCTGTGAAAGGGGTAGGCATTCGCTTTTAAATGATTATGTATTTGATTTTTAAACTCATTTTTATTTGTTAATTTAATTTTAAATACAAATCACGTGTATGATAAATCCTAACACTAGAAATTATATTTTACATTGAGCCAATTAGTGTGATTTTTAAAGTTTGGTAACCAATAACCATTCAACATTGATAATGCAAAATATTTTTATCCACACGACGAAGTCTCAAAAGGCGAACCTTACATTTATTTGTGACCAGGGGCCATTCTTTGAATACCTAACGTCATCCGAAACTAAGCCTTATACAGAGATGCCTGGAAGAAACTCTGTCGGTGTTAGTTTTGACAAACTAGCGCTCCAACAACTAATATCCAAGAAATAAAGTGCCGACATTGTTTACATTTAATAACCACTGTTCTAGACAAAAATTAAACGTCTCAAATAAATACACGAATGATAGTGTGTTATATATATATATATATATATATATATATATATATATATATATATATATATATATATATATATATATACATACATACATGGGGGGCCCAAAAAAAAATTTGCCGGGTGGCCCATTTTTTCTAGTTCCGCTACTGGCCTTATAGTTGAAATATATATTGCATTACCATCATTATTATGTTTAATGTAATAGACAGAAAGTAATGTGAATTAATCTTATTGTAAATACTATTAAAATTATGCTTGTACAACGTTATTATTAATAAGGCATATACATAATTTTTCGCAGTGTGATCTGTTGCCTTCATTTTTTTTTTAAATTTAGAGATTATTTTTAGATTATTTTTAGCAATCTAAAGTAATTTATGAATACTATGGTATATATTAGGCATGGCTTTGTCAAATAACAGAGCATACGACTGGTAATCCATAGGTCTCGAGTTATAAGTTATGTTTAAGTCTGTACAACATCCGTGAGTCATCTAGCTCTGATGGGTACGAGACACACATAAGCGAAATTAAAGGCAGGTGGACATATAGCTGACACACTATCTCTGGAAGGGTAACAGAAACATGTGAACTCTACTTCAACTTCACCATGGACGGTCAGGCTTGAAAGAGAACTTTACTCTGGTGGATATTGAAACAAGGACAATCGTAAAATGTGTTGTAAAAGTGTGTTTTGTGTGTCAAAGTTCTTTACAGTAATAAATAAAACTCATAACTTTCAGCCGAAGAAACGACAACCACATCAACAACTGCTGCAATGGCAACTTCTACTACAAGTATTTTTTCTTTTTCATTTAGTAATAAATAATTCTTATTCAGGATTTTACAGTTCAAAAGCACAGTATCACTTGAGTATTCAATTTAAACAAATTTGCTTGTGTTTTTAGGAAAAAATTGCAAGAAAGGTTAACAAGACGTTTAAAGTTTTTTAAGTAAGTTTACATTTTGGATCTTTACATCGGTAATTTTAAATAACAAAGCGCCCTAGGTTTTAGCTATTTTAAAGAATAAATAAGGGTAAAAATTTTGCATGGATAACCTATTGATAAAAATATAAATATAAGGCTTTATTAATTACACTTTTTAAGACTTTTGAATATTTCAAATACTGAAGGGTAACATTACCTTGATAATATCAATACAATTACGATAATTTTAAATCTTCTTTGTTCATTAAACACCGTGGTTATAGATGCACGATTGTTTACAAAAAATCCCTTATTTTAGAACATAGACTCCAGTAGGTAGGACGTTTCTGAGTCCACCCAGCTCCAATGGGTACCCAATACACTTTATTAGAAAGTAAAGATGACTGGGCGTAGTACTAATCACACTGTGTGTTTTATGTGCAAGAAATACCTCCCGGAACTAGGTGAAATCTATTATTGCCTGGTCCTTAAGGTTTTCTCAGTCTTAGATAGAACCTGTTTTTTGAAGTGTTTAATGTATTGCTGCGAATAGAATTTTATCCCACTGTTTGCAGGGAATGCCCATCTCAAACTTACACTGTTTTTGTTGGACTAAAAAAAAACTTTCTTATGTGCGTTGTTTAAAAGTGTTGTTTTCCCTGGTACATTACGTAATGCACAGATCGTTAAACAAATGGTGCATTCAAAGTATTAACCCAAAATGTCCGTTTTACAATAATTAAACATAAAATCTACTTAAATCTGATCGTAATTTTTTAAAATATTGTAATCTATTTGTCGCTAGAAAAAAAGCATGTCACACTAAAAAAGAAAAAACAACATTAAAATAATTATAATTGAAATATCACATTATTTGTCCTGTTCCTGTTAACTATTAGTTTTTTCGTTGTTCGATATTTTTATGGCTGCCCCATCTTAACTGACTAGCGTTAATAATTGAATAAACAAGTTATATATTCAATTTGATTTCTGAATAATACTTTGAAGAATTGTATTTAAGTGTGTCATATACAGATGGAGGCATGTTAGTTTTTAAATAAATAAAATAAATAAACCAGTTTACCTGTCATTTAACATAATTATTTTTCAACAGAAGTTCGAGGGAGAAGACTTCACAGATGAAAAGATTCTTTACGTTTCAATGTCTTTAAATTCCTAAAACTATTTTAAATTTGCAAAAGCTACTTTAAATTTTAATATTTTGAAATTCCTAAACACATTTAAATTTTCAAAGAGTCTATACATTTTCATCTCCTTAATTAGTTAAACTATTTACATTTTAATGTCTCAAAAAACCTTAAATTGTTTGAATTCGCACTGGCTGTTTTCAATTTAAAAAAAAAATTATTATCGTAAACGCATCAAAATTATTTGTCATCATTTTGTTAATCGCTTTGTTTTAATATCTTGTGTTATCATTTTGAAGTACCTAAATCTTGAAGTATTTTTTTTTAAATTTTTTTTTTTAATTTATAATTTTTTGTTGATTTTCTCCAAAATCTAAGTAATATTTTCTTTAAAAAAATATTTTCTTCACGCTTGATGTTTAACTCAAACAACATTGCACTGGGTTTGTCAAATACTGGTTCTTGTCAATAAAAGTTTCTATAACGTTTTGTTGACTACCTTTTGTTTTAGTCTTTATCAATATTAGCAAAAATCGGGTTGTTTTTTTGTTATTCACACTTATTAGATCTGGAACTCAAAATAGTTTCTTATGAGGTCCACTCACTAATGGAAAAATTAGAGCCATCTCAATAATCGAGGTTAACTATGTATAAAACTGACCGTAAATGTCATTTTAAAGTGCATCAATTAGATCGACCACTTGCATTTGATTGCGATGAACCTAAGCCAGTAGTAGTTTAAAAAAAAAGAAAGCGAAGAAGAAGAAAAAATAGTGGAACCTTAAATAAACATATTTTAAGTAACAAATATTTGTGACGTTCATGTCTAAACACTCAACACATTCCATATTGAAATAATTTAAACGTACAAATATGCAACACTGGGTTCTTTGAAAAATAAGGGATGGAGAACACATATAATACAAAAGAAAAAAATTGGATTGTTCATGCAATTAATTTTGTAATAGCAAGTTCTAAGGGGAGTAAATGTGGTTTCTTTAAAACAAAAGTTTTCTCAGAGTTAAACCCCTTTCTAGCATTTATTCGGTGAAAACATATTTTGATAGAAACAGAATTGGCAAAAATGAATAATCGCATTGTGAAGATGGCAGCTGCTTATGGAATATAAACAATACTAAAAAAAACAGCTAAATGCCAAAGTAGACATTTGTTTCAAGCTTCGATATCTGATATTATCGATGCAGCACTACACACTTTCAAATGCTTCAAATATTAGAATTATTTCATTTTGGGCATATACTTATAGGGCTTGTAAGTAGGTCACCAACCAGCTCTATGGCTCATGCAAGTTGATTTTATTGAGCCGTAGAACTGGTTGGTGACCTACTTACCAGCAATATAGGGCTTAAAAGTAGGTGACCAACTTCTCGTTCTCTTACTTGCCAGTAAGTATTTTTTTTAAACAAATTGGGAATATTTTTATTACATCCGTAAAACATAAAACAAAAATTGAAAAAAGTTATTTCCACTATGGTTGACTTTTTAAAAACGTAATCAATGACAGAACACAGGATGCTGACTAGCGCTAGCTAAAAGAAAAATAGAGTATAAGTTCAATTGTGATATTGTAACCCTTTATCTACTGTCGGTACTTATAAGTATCACTTTAATTAAGCTCCTGTATTATTTTTAATTTAAGACGAATTTTTAAAAATTATTCATGTAATTAATAGTATTATCTCCCCTGAGTCACCTGTAGGTGAAGAGATCAATGTTTTCCATTCTGGAGAATTGCGTTTATTAACCCGTCATTTCTGGATGTATGAATGTATGAATGTATGAATGTATGAATGAATGAATGTGTGTCCGCAGCTTTAAGTCGTATCTCCTCCTCAACGAGCAATATCGAGGACTAGTTCCAAAAGCAATTATTTAAGCAAGTTACCAGGATGATAGTGGGCCAAAAAAATTCCGAGTTTCTTTCATAGATTTTCCGGAAAAGCCAAAAAACCTCGAAAAATGCAGTTTTTTGCTCATATCTCGGCAACCAGACCACTTAGCGACTTGAAACATTTACCAATCGATTTCTGCCATAATTTAGAACAATATTGCCGAAGAAAGTTTTCAAAAATATCCTTTCGTTCGGTCACAAAAAATGTTTTGAATTAATTAAAATTTGGACCGAATAAACAGGCATGTTTATTCAACCACACCACACGCGTCATCACGTTCAATAGCTGCGCCATCACGTTCAATGGCTGCGAAATCACGTTCGGTAGCTAGGCGCGCAATGGTTTTTAGTCATGTTACTCTATTGTAAATAAAACATGTAAAATACTGAAAAAAAAATTAATAAAATACGTTTTAGTAACTAATCAATGGTTTTACTAACCCTGCTCTTGATTTACGCTACGACAGAGCTATTTTTAGATAACATAAGGATATTGCGCTAAAATTGTCACTAGACTTTTTTAATTACTTGTTTTAAAAATGTGTGGTGCAGCACCATTTTCAATCTCCTGCTCTGTTGGTAGTTCACAATCGTTTTGTACAGATCTCGCACGTGTTCCTAGTTTCCCTTTGTTTTACCTTATTCTTCAAGTTTTCAACCCCAAATATTTTTTATGGGCATCTTCAAATCAATTTTCTTCAAATTTTTGTAATAGATCGATGTTTACAAGAGGACTTGTAAGTACCGTCAGGACACACGATCATTTTTCTTAGGATTTCTTGGAACAGATTTTCGATGTGGAATTAAATAAATATTATTTTGTTAATAAATTATCGAAACGTACTCAAAAAATGATATTTATACATTTATAAGAAGGTTAGCATATGGTTTACTAAGTAAATATTTTTATTAAATTCAGATTTCTAGTAGTAAAAGATTAATAAAAATAAAAGTAGCAGTTGCAGGTTTACAATTTTTAGTATGCTTTATTTGTATACCAAAGTCTAGGTGTAGTGGTAAGATTTGTTAGTTATATTTACCTCAAATAACTGTCTAGCCTACAATAACGCAATATATACCTGTAGGCTAGTAATATTCCATACGTATGCATATAATACAATATAGGTCTCTATGTTAAATTGTAATCAGTAAACATAAAACAGTAGGCCACTACGGCTAGCCTAAACACATTAAGCTTATTTCTATTTATGAACTTTACATAGTAGTGCTGACTTGTCATAATATCCTAGTAGGCTACAATTATACTTCCCCTAGTATTACTAGTAGTAGTGAACTGTATGACTAGGCTTTCGTTTTTAAAATATGTGTCTATGCGGCTCATTGTAATGGCTATTAGAAGCCTCTAGCAAAAGCAGGTTCAGTCCGGCAACTGTTACCACACCAGATAGACCACATACAAGAACGTGACAATGAGGAATGAGAGAGCATGACATGTCGGCACCTTTTGCTGTGTTTGAGGTCTAAGATGTGTTCCGATAAAAAAATACAGCAAAAATCGTAGTAAAAATATACTTTTGTGCTGTGTTAATGTGTGAAAATAAAAAATAAAAAATGATTGTTATAATGATTGCCATGTTATTATTTAATAAATTGTATCGTTTTTCCTGTTTCGTAATTTTTTTAAATTTTTTTGGAAAAAAATTACCTACATTCCTTTCGGTACTTATAAGTACCAATATATGTTTGGGCCATTAACAATTTATGAAACAAAATTTCCTTTGACATATGATTTAAATGTGACAAAAGCAATAAGATGATACATTGTTTAAGAAAAAATTTCATTCAGATCATAATTCCGTAAATAAAGGGTAGAAGCGTACAGTTTATTATTTATTCGAGTCAACATTAGTTACCATAAACGTAATTACAATACTAATATTTTATTATTAATAGCCTAGACCTTCTGGAACACAAATTTGATTATTTCTTTATTTTTATAAAGAAAGGGGTTGGGTTACCATAGGGTGAGTCAGGGGTTTGGTTTGCATATGAGGGTTACTGATTGGGTTACCTTTGTGTGTATCAGTAAGGGGTTGGGTTACCTTAGGGTGGGTCAGAGTTTGGTTAGCACATGTGGGTTACTGATTGGGTTACCTTAGGGTGGATAAGTCAGGGGATGGGTTACCTTAGGGTGGATAAGTCAGGGAATGGGTTACCTTAGGGTGGATAAGTCAGGGGATGGGTTACCTTAGTGTGGATAAGTCAGGGGATGGGTTACCTTAGGGTGGATAAGTCAGGAAATGGGTTACCTTAGGGTGGATAAGTCAGGAAATGGGTTACCTTAGGGTGGATAAGTCAGGGGATGGGTTACCTTAGGGTGGGTCAGCCTGGTGTCAGGTTATCTAATGGTGAAGCTGAGGCCGAGAGAATGAATTAAATTAGTTGAAGGATAGACTTGTGATCGTGTGGAAGTGCGGTTCTTGTTTCCCGTGTCAGAGCTTTTGTTTTTCTATATTAAAGCCACGAAATTGTACATGCGTTAACATTATTTGTTCAAATCGTTTAGGCGGTTATATCCTGTTTTGCTAAATTATCACCAAGTACTTCACCTCACTGTAGTAATCAACACCGCCACCTTATGACCCTATAACAGGCTGCTACGATGGATGCTGGCTAATCAGAAGAGTCACCTTCGTGTCATTAAGGACGTCCACCATGTCCATCCACCATTGGTTTGTAAATTTCTCATGTTCGAAAAAGTAAATGCGACTGGTTATAGATCTTATGTTGACGCACCTGAGTCGATATAGTAAACAGATATTGATGCACATCGTGTCTATAGTGTATAGCTTTATTTAGAAAAAAAACGAAAGTAGGCGCATGGGTGCCCGGGGCACTTCTTGTCACGCAGTCGTCGAGGAGCCGGCGGATGCTCTGTTGCATTTTTACCAATGAATATAGTAGTATTCCTTATCCTATATGCAGGAAGCCTAAGTGACGGATACCAAGTGCTAAGATAGCCGCTCTGGAACTCTTGGCGTCAATCATCGTATTGACGAAAATCGCAGTCGCCAGGGCTAAGCCCTAAGGAATTGTTTTCGGAGAACCCTTCTCGAGAGCATTCGTATCAACTCAATGAAGATTCATAACACTCGGATGAACGATTTCGAACCGCATCAGACTTTTATTTTGAATACACCTTATTTAGAGAAAATCGCAAATTTAAAAAAAAGTGTTTTGGCAGAAACCTTCCTAAGAGTATTTTCAAAAACTTCCGAAAGTTTCATGGCTATCCGTCATACAGACAAACACACGCACACAAATATAGGAGTAGAGTAAAAAAAAACAACCTCGACTTTATCGCAATAGAGTAATACACCTAAAGTATGTATTATCTAAATTAATGATTTAAAAAGTATTAAATGAGGTTATTTCCCAAACGTATAATTGCATTAAAGTAATGTGGAAAAAAAACAAAGCCAAAGAATATGTATCATCCTTCACAAATTACTTTACTGTGTTCATTTATTTTCAATTACTTTCCTTGATTGACAAAAAAAGTGTTTATTTTTTTACTTCCCTTTAAGAAAAAACATTACATCTGGGTGC